TCTCTCTCTCTCTGTGTGTGTGTGTGTGTGTGTGTCTATGTGTGTGTGTGTGTGTGTGTGTGTGTGTGTGTGTGTGTCTCTGTGTCTGACCACCACCTTCGAATTGCCTGAAGAAGAAGAAGAAGAAGAAGAAGAAGAAGAAGAAGAAGAAGAAGAAGAAGAAGGAGGAGGAGGAGAAGAAGAAGAAGAAGAAGAAGAAGAAGAAGAAGAAGAAGAAGGGGGAAAAAAAAATACCAAGGAAGAAGAAGAAGAAGGGAAAAAAAAAAACAGCAAAGAAGAAGAAGGTTCTACCTGTGCAAAATTTTAGGACTCTTAACTCCATATCATTCACGAAAAAATGGGGAAAAAAAATAATGCTTTTTTTTTAAACTGATTTTCGTTTTTCATTTTTTTAAATTCGTAAATGAAGTCAAATTCGAAAAACAATTTGTTAAGGTTGAAGCCCATATTTCTATTTATTGTTTCACGTATTTTCTCTAAGGGGCTCGTTCGACACTCCTCGGGCGCGTAAAATTCCCGAGGAATTCATCGTTCCACTTATCCTCGGGGAAGAAAACGAAAAAAAAATGTAAAAACATTTCCTCGGGGATTCCTCGGGCCACAGGTAATTTTCATTTTCCCCAAGGAACCTCCTGTAGGATCCTCGGGGCTCCCCCATGTGGAAGAACGGGGTCTTCGACGACACCTCAATGTACTTCTTTTGTCGGCGGTGTCTGGTCCATCGCATGTCCGGCCGACTTGTGCACGGACATGTCGGGTCGCCAACGTTCAAGCGGCAACTCTCATGACGCCAACGGTAACCGTTTGCGGGCCGGTAGCATTCCCAAGGTGCACACCGTGGTGCACCTTGGGGCTGGGCTTCAGCCGAAGTGGGAAACCGCCCAACGGTCGGCAATTGCGAATATTTGAGGCGGCACAGGGGCGTCCACAACACGACGGCTTCTGTTTGTCGCCAAGCTCGTATCGCCGTCTGCAGGTACCCTGATGTTATGTTGTCGCCCGTGTTTTCTTCCGTCTAGTGCCGTTGTCGTCGGCCGGCTCATGGCTGACGTCTTTCGCAAGCTGCCGTTGCTGCTTCTCGTCGTCTTCTTGCTGGTGGTCGTCATAGTGTTCCGTGTGTGTTTCCTCGGGAACGCGCAGCGGCGTCAACGTAGACGAACTCTGCCGATGAAGCCCGTCCGGACGGACACACGGCAGGGATCCCCCAGGGGAGGAGGCGAGCACGTAGTGAGTAGGCGAGCCGTTGGAAGTTCTTCTTCGGCTTGTAGGTTGTCGCTGGGGGTCGGCAATTCCGCATTGCCACCACATTTGCAACCCCTCCCAGACTCATTTGATGAGGAGGAGAGGGAGGGACGGGGTCGCACTGTTCCGTTGGGTAGTGGATCTACGCAGGAATGGGCTTGGGCGGAGCTGTGCGGTGGGAGTGCCGACATGTACGTGCAGTCCTTTACTGAACTGCTGCGGCCGGGCATCGACGGGGAAGAAGGAGACGGCGGAGTGAGCCTATCTTCCGGTCAGTCTACTGGGAGGTGTGGAAGCCGGACGCACACACTAATCTTCAATCCCCATCCTGGCGACGACGGCGGGCAGTTAACCGCTGTGGACAGATCATTGAAATCCACCGGCGCGCAGCAGTGCCAGCGATGATCGACTTCCATCTCCAGGACCGCGCAGGGGCGCCCACAGTTCATGCGGTCACTGTCTACGGTGTATGTTGCGTCCACCCTGGGACGTCGAGGAGGCATTGTCGCGGAGGGGGGGGGGGGACTTGGACGACGTCGACGAGAGGTTACTATGGGCGGAGCAACGACGGGAGCTGAGGGAGGGTCGAGAGGAAGCAATCAGGTGGGGGGTGGAGCGTTTGAGGATGGACAGGCAGGCGGAAGAAGTTGAGGAGCCAGATGCGGGGCTTCCGTCTGAAGAAGACGACGACAACAACGAAGAAGGAGGGGACGGGAACGGGGGTCACGCCTCGCCATCGAAGAACAGCGACATGGGTGGGAAGGGCGGCAAGACGCAGGCGAAGAGCGGGAATGGTCGTGGGCGGCCAAAGAAAGCACAAGCAAAGCCGAACGACGGTTACGGTGACGACGAGGCAGAGGAGAAGCGAAACTTTTGGAGTGTCGAACATATCATCGCCCTCATTCGGGCGAAACGCGATCAGGATGCGCACTTGCAGGGGATGGGCCACGCATACGGCCGGATGAAGGCGAGGGAGTGGAAATGGAATGATGTCGCCAGAAGATTGAAGAATGTCGGTGTGGAGAGGAAGGCAGAGAAATTCGGGAAGAAGTGGGACAACCTCATGCAGCAATTCAAGAAAGTTCATCATTTTCAATCGCCGTCCGGGGGAATCGACTTCTTCCAGTTGAGCGTAAGGAGAGGGCGAGCAAGGGCTTCAATTTCAACATGGATCGCGCCGTTTACGACGAGATTGAAGGGTCGACCGGTTTCAATGAAACCATGAACCCGAAAAACGTTGCAGACACTGGTGCCTCTCGCGGTGTGCGTTTGCCGTCCACGTCGAATGGTGATCCTGAAGCAGTTGGTGATGCCGACGCCGGTGCGGGGGGAGACGATGAGGAGGAGGGATCGACTCGTGGTTCTTCCCACACGATGGGCAGCCCTGGTGCATTTGGAAAGAGGAAGAGCACGCGGCAGCAGACGTTCGAGGCAATGACCGATTGCATGGAGAAGCACGGTGCGTTGATGGCGGCCACGATGGAGAGTGCCAGCRAGCGGCAATGCAGCATTCAGCTACGAYAAWGTGAGGCATTAGAAGMTGAAGTGCAGGTGCAGAAGACGCACTACGCCGCGTCCGATGAAGTCARCAAASTCATGTGCCATGCGTTGTTGGAAATAGCAAAGGCTATTCGCGAGCGATAGAGTTTGTAGGCATTSTGTTGTGTACYAGTGGCGCCGTGRAATGTAGTAGTCGGTTGACAGTTGGTGGCTTCCCGTTGTACTCGGCTTTGTCGGCAAGGTGTCGTCTTCGTTTCGTGTATGTTTCGAGTGTTGTTTTAGGACGGTTGGGCACATCGGTCGCCACTCTTTGTGTATGCTTACTCTATGGTGGTTCTAGACGGGTCGTCGCCCCATGCAAGTGGTTACGACGGTCGAGTGCAATCCGCCAACGTGTTGGAAAAAACAAACGTATTGGCGACGTCGAAACGGCAGCGCGCCATCAGTCCTACCCTTCCCCCACGACCACCATTTTCAAATAAATACCGCGCAATTGCCCCGCTCCGCAGTCATCCGAAAGCGTGCATATCATCTTCACGCCGCCTAGTGAAGGACTCGCAGGACATCTTGTCGCCATTAACCCCCCCTCCCTTGGCCTCTTTTATGCGTGCCTCCATCACATCTTCTACCCCGGCCTCTTTCATGCGCGCCTCCATCACATCTTCCCGCCGCCTTTATTTTCGCCTCCATCACATCTTCTCGCCGCCTTTCTTTTCGCCTCCTTCATTTTCACGTCCATCACATCTTCTCGCCACCATCGCTGCTCGATTGCCGTGTATGGCGAGCGCCACCGTCTGATCTTCTCGCCTCCTGCGACATTACCCGCCATCAACTGTCTTCTATGTGCGCCGCCATCTGATCTTGTCGCTGCCTGGTATTTCTGGCAGTATAACCACCAAAAACCTTCTCTACTGCGCGCCACCATTGCATCTTCTCGCTGCCTGTACTGTGTTCGCCGCCATCAACCACCACTCGCCGTGTGGTCCTGCACACCGCCTGAAGATCTGATTGCCGCCATCTCCAAGGTCGACAGATCGACGTTCTTCTTACGCGCCTTCCATTCCATCGTGCACACAGGAAACATAATGTCTTCTCGCACCGTTGCACGTGGGAGAGGTGTTGGGAAACAAGTAACGGAAGGCGAGCTTGTATCGAAGAAAGGTTGACACAATCCCGCGAAGAGAAGAAGGGGCGTCCAAGGCGGGAAAGGCGTGTTCGGACGGGAGGTCGAGTCAGATTGGGTGGATGAAGAGGAGAGACAGGAGGAGGACGCCGACTTCCAAGAAGAAGAGGAACATACTCTTAAGAGGAAAGTTAAGCCGAGAACGAGGGGCGCTATGCGGATCAAAGTGGGGGCGGGTGACGCAGCAAAGGTGGCTCATGATCAGCCGCAGACGCCATCGAATAAGTGGAACCAACAGCCTGTTGGCGTGGCTAGCAGTTCTGAGGCTGTGATCGACGTGTCTGTGAAGCAATCCCTTGCGCCGCAGCCACGTGGGGAGGCAGTTCCGGTAGTGCGCGAAGTGGCGGATAGTGTGAAGGCGGGTAATGGCAGGGCGGTAGGCGAAGACGACGAAGCTCTGGTGAAGAAGCTGCGCGGGCAACGTGCGGAGGCGAAAGCGATGGAGGTTGCCACGAAGCTATGGACCGACGACATTCGCTTCTGGAATCATACGCGGGGACACGAAATCATCCAGATCATGCACGAAGCCCGAGTTTACCTCGTTGACGTAGCGACGGGAGTGCAGCCATCACCGATCCGAAGGAGCATCAAGCTCCCCCATAGTTCAATCCCGCAGAAAACGATCGAAGACGGGTCGGAGTTGAGGGCGGCGAAGGAAAGGGCGTTAAAGGTGGAGACCATTGCGAAGAGGGCGATCTACGGCTGGATTTCAAGTCCGATCGCAGACACAAGGGGTATCACTTGGCGTACCAGTACGCCTTGAACCACGCGGCGACTGACATCGCAAGAGCGATGTGGGCATCGGAGGACTGACGTTCGTTAGTCAGCCCGATGGTGATTCGTAACACGCTGGAGTTGGGTATGAAGCTCCCTTTGTGGTTCCTCGGAGCGAATGTGGTGGACAGGCATCAGGAAGACGAGTGCGCGACTTACCAGGAGGCCATAGCTCAACGTTTGGTGTGCGATTTCAGCAATGTGGTGGAGGCGGTGCAGGTGATGGACTCGGGACGTGTTTCTTACGAGCGGCTGAAGTCCCTGGCGGAGGCGATGAGATATTTGCTGGCGGCGGCAGCGTGGATAATAAGGATGGCTGGGGACTACTCAAGATCGCACTACGACTCCTGGGTTTTCGTGCAGTTGACGGCGAAGACCACCCTTCTTGCTTCCATGGATCGCCATTTTGACTCACGTCGTAATGTCTTGCAAGCCGCAACTGTTATGACGGACAAACTGGGAAGACCGCCTCCGACCTTCGCTCCCCCAAACTGTACATCCCCGACTGGGCGTCCAAGTGTGGCGTTACGTTCAATCACGATGCGACTTTGTCCTCCCCGATGGAAGCGACGAAGATGGAGTGGATCGACACAGGCCCCCCTGAGGAGGAAGACGACGACGACGAAGATGTTGATAGCGCCGAGGGTGGGTGATAGTGGGAGTCGAAGTCGAAGGACTGTCGGCGAGGGTGGGTGATAGCATGAGTCGAAGGCGATCGTTGGCGGCAGGGTTTTTAAGTCTTCTACACCCACACCGCCGACGATCCTTAGGTTTGAAGTGCACATACTTTGCGTGGTTTGGTGTGTACTCATTAGGTTTTGCAGCGGACGACATGTTTTTAAAGCAGGGTACACGGTGGTTAAGTTCATTTTGATTCAACGCCGTGTATTTTATTTTATGATTGTCCTTCACATTCCCTTTTATCTGAGTTGTCGACCTGTATTCGTTGTGGAATTTGACGTCAACCATGATTTGTACGTGCTCATTATGATATTAATGCGCCATCAAACGGTGTTCTTCTTTTACATTCAAATAATGGGGCTCGTGTACTATGTGGGCGATGGGACATGTGTCTTTCTTTTGGGGATGTGTTCACTTGATGGGGATCACTTCAAAATGAACGGCAGGAAGTACTCATGTTAACCCGACCACTTAACGACCATCACTTGCGTGAATTATTCCATGAAAAGATGGATTGTCTCTGTGTTTGATGTGATGACGAACGAAGTTTGTATATTGCTTTGTCATCTCTATGAAACGATGCGTTCTTTGATGAAGGTGACACCGTGCATTCAAAGGAATTCCATTACAAAGGTTTGCACGATTTCACGAGAACAAAAATGTCAAAAAAAAACAACAACAACGAAAAGTCCAGCATTCGCACATTATGAACGCACACACACATACACACACACACACACACACACACACACACACACACACACACACACACACACACATGCGCGGACACACACACGCTGGCCTAAGCGCAAAAACGTCAGACAAACTTATCAGAACTTGGTGAACGAAAAAACATTGCAAAATGATGACTGCATTCGACATCGAAAGACCACTCAATGAAAGAAGATCATTGAATAAAGGGGAAGCCTTCGAAGGAATTCAATAACAAAAGTTGAAATAAAAACCAGATTGCAGCTCAATCACCGTCCATTCCACCCCCCCTCACCCCCGTCCGGCCCCGACTGCCTGGGCCACGACTTCACGTCATTCAACCTACCACCTACTTAAGTCTTCTACACTACTTCACGGAACACCATCAACGACTTCCGCACGACGATGATCACTACGAAAACGAACCTCCGGCGAACTTCGTCGAAGGTTTGCGCAACCACTTGCGCTGGTAAAACAACACAGGTCCATAAATGACGAAAGTGTTAAAATCGAGTACCGAAAATGGCACTGATGACCAACCATCCACGGCACGACTGCGACACGCGAACAGGAAGAAGACAACCTGGCGGACGAGTGCTTCGAACACCCCTGGGGAAGAAAGCACATTGTGCTTGACGACGACCAAACTAACTTCTCGACGGCAACAAACCGGGAGGGCCTCGATACCGTCTTCGCTAAGCACCTCCAATGGACACGGGAGGGTGCACCTCCCCATCGTTACTTGCCTATCATCTCTTCGGTGCCTCCCCGCTTCAGTCTCCTTCGATATCTAGCCGCATTTCGACCCTCTTCGACTCTCCACTTCCACAACCACCCATCCTCACTGCGCACCCATCCTCTCCGCCAACGCATCCCTCAGAATCAGCGCGTCACCGGTTGACGACTCCATGCAAACAGGACGCAGCGGAGCATGCATACCGGGATCCACTCTGCATTGGACGCCATCCGGTCCGACCTCCCACAGAAGATTGTCATCGAAGGGAATGCCAGCGTCGATCAATATGTTGTGGAGGATGCACACAGCGATGAACTGTTGTGGCAACGTGTCCATGTTGCACTTGTGCGTGCCCAGGAACAACCTCCACATGCCCTTCAATCTTCCAAACGCCCTCTCCACCGCTCCCCTCGCTGTTTTCTGCTTGTTGTCGAACCGTGCCTCAACAGGGGGTTGCGCGAGACCACCATAAGGGACGACAATCCATTCCGACTGGGGATAGCCGTTGTCGCCGAGCAAGTATCCATTCGTTCGGACAACGAATGGCAGCATGACATGCGGGCCAGTGAAAAGTTGTCCAGACTCCGCGCGCTCCCACAAACTGGACAGATGTAACATCCTCATGTCATGCACGCTGCCAGGGTAACCCACGAAGACGTCCAGTACACGCAAATTCATGTCGACCACAACCTGCGCCTGCACAAAGAATCGCCTCTTCCAATCACAGTAGTCCTCCCCGTTTGCGTTGGCCGGTTTGTCGACGTAGATGTGGGTGCAGTCGATGCACCCATGGCAATTTGGAAAGCCCTTGTCTGCAAACGCGCCCAACACGACCGCCTTCTGCAAACCAGTGGGCCACAAAATCTTGTCCGGTACGCAGCAAGCAAGGCGGCGGTAACGTCTCGCACCGCCGTGATGCCAGAAGCCCTCCCAATGCCGAAGCTGCACGTTCTGCTGTCGTATGTCTCACCCGACGCCCACCTATAGAGAGCGTACGCCACGATGTGGTTAGGCTGCAAAGACACCTTGTAAGACGTCACACGTCGTTGCAGGTATGGAGAGAGCGTTTCAGCGATTTCGCGGAAGACACGTGGCGACATTCGGAGCTTGTTTCTAAAGTACTTGTCGTTGGTGTCGTCGCATTGCCGCAGGTCCTCCCAAGTGCCTCCCGTCCGCCGCTTCATCCACCAACGTGGAGTCACCCTCGGGAATGCGCCGCTCCCCATCGCGTAACACACCTGGAGGATGGCGTCGGAAACTGCACCCAAGTCCAAGCCTTCACCGCTGCTCGGCAGCGCCGTCACCTTCCGTCGCGCTCGAGCAGCTGCTTTAATCTTCCCTGCGGTTCTCTCCACTTCACAACGATAGAGAACGACATTGACAGTTGCAGCGATAGCCGTCCTCTCATCTGTCGTCAATGCACCACCCCGGACACCGCCGTCAACAACCATCCCTAACGCCTCTTCCATCCACGACAGCGAACCCACGACAACCGCCAAAACTCTGCACACACAGCCACGTGGAACGACAATATTCCGCGTTGCGAAAAAATTGTGGACGCCACCAATGCCGACGGCGACAAGCTACGACGATGGCGACGTATGGTCGTACACGGGAAGGCATGCGCATACTCTACAGTCGAAGGCGCTCAACGGGCATGTCATATGGACACGCCCACGGCTGCCACCCCCCCACGCCCTAATCCGCACGGCTGACGTCCATCGCCCGCCTCCACTCGCACGCGCAAATTTCGAATTTTTAAATTTTGAATTCCTCCCTTCCGTGCCTTCTAGAAGCCCCTAATTTTTTCCCCTGAACGACGTCATTTCTTGCACAGCGGCCCAAAAAGCTGGACCACGCCAATCCAGACGGACACAATTGAAGACAGGCCGTGGTACACACATCCCGCGGCCTGTAATACGTATATAAATCTGGCCGAGGGAGCCCCGAGGAATCGTCCTCGAGGGCCGACTCCGAGGATGAGTGGAACAAAGGCGTCGAAATCCCCCAACAACTCCCAGGAATCATCCTCGGGGCCCGAGGAAGCCCCGAGGAGTGTCGAACGAGACCCTTATACCTTAAAGGAAAACGCGGGTCCACGCGAGACACCGCTCCCTGTGCCCAAGTCCCACACGCGAGACCCGGTTCGTTCTTGAAGGCGCGCCCGTGCCTCAATTCCGTAGTTTGATGCACACCGGTCCCGGTGGGAGGTGTGGACGCAGGCACTGCGGCGGTTGTCTGTTTACCCGACCGGTTTCGTGGTTCGATTCGGTCGCCCTGCCTTTCGTCGGGTTCCGTGGAGGAGTCGGTCGCCGGATGGTCGGGGGGTGTACGGGGACGGGGGCTGCACGGGGACGCAGGATAAGGGCGGGTTAATGCAGGTTGGGCTTTTAGTCGAGCTGCGCTGCGTGTCGGGGGGTGTCTGGCAACACAGCGTGTGGTGGGTCGTTGGCAGCGGGAGCGTTGTGCTCCGCGGCAGGTAGTGAACATGCGTGCTCTCTTTCTCTCTCTCTCTCTCTCTCTCTCTCTCTCTCTCTCTCTCTCTCTCTCTCTCTCTCTCTCT